AGATATTTGAGAGAATTGACATTTTGGAATCTTTCGCTTGAGCCTCGCCTAGAGTTTGCTACGTGAGAGCTTACTTGAACGCCTCACTAGCGATCGTTGAGAAAAACAGGGGAAATATGGAAAATTAAACATTCGGCCTCGTCTCACTTGGAACTTGCCCGAGCTCGTTAAGCGAGGGACCTTATGCTTTAAATTTTTTTTAGTGTTCTCTTTTCCACCATAACACGAGAACCGTAACTTCGATTAATGTGAGGTTGAATGCGTTGGAAAACTAATCCAATGTTTTACCTTTTTAGGGTAAAAGAAATCATGTTTATGTTTCCATATTGTTTGGATAACAATAATGAACCGTGACGTGTTTTTCATGTATCATGTTGTAATGTGTATATGTATTCATTACATAGTTAATGACTGGAACTTGGAATGTAACACATGAATGAGAAAGAAAAGTGCTAAGTTCCTAGAATGAATCCGTAATTAGTACGAGCTTGGTGAGGTGCTAAGTTCCTATGATGGAGCCATAATTAGTACAAGCCTAGTGACATACTAATTCAACCGAATGTAGCCGTAATTAGTTATACACACAAAATTCCAATAAGAATGATTCGTAATTAGTAATGGCAGACCATATACTAAATTCAACCGTGCAGGGTCATAATTAGTAGAGTGATAGACACACCTTGCTAAATTCCAATTGAAATGGTCATAATTAATAATGGCAGGCCATGTACTAAATCCAACAGAATGAGGTCGTAATTAGTTGTGGGACTAAGTTCCTATTGGAAGGATTGAAATGATGTGAGTATCTTGCTTTTAATTCAGAGCTGTAAATATATATTGATACTAGTGAGAGTGTCGGAAATGGTGTAACTTGAATCAATATGTTAATTGATTAAATGGTATATGCTATGTGAATAAAATAGGATGATGTGAGAATGCTATGGAATTTGTGTCATACTCGAGGCTAGATTAATCAGGGCATAATGAGCGTAAAGAATAGGTGATTACATGCTTATCCCGTAAATGTAACCATAAGCCTCAATTGCTGTAAATGTTATACATTGACCATAACCGACAATAATTTTGATTATATTCTCTTATGATACGAGCTCGTTCTCCGGTGCCCATAAATCATAGGATCCTGTATAAATTGAGATTCCTTTATAGTCGAGTGGACTCAAAAGATAGGGAAACTCACTAAGATTATTATCTCATCCCACTATTGTTGTTGTTTTTCAGGTAGTTCTTTGCAGGTGAAAGACAAGGATAAGTTTGCATGATGATGTTTCAGTGATTGCACTTTTTGGATCATGATATTCTGCTGTGAATCATACGAACTCTAATATATATCATAGTTTTCTTTAGGCACCTTTGTATATCATGTGTCATTTATGTATACCATTTTATTTTGGATATGTATGTTGCCTATAGGCTCTTATATGTATTAAATACCAATTATACTATGTATAATATATATTTTAGATGTATATTATATGTGGGTGTTACAAGGTTTATCTAGAACATTTGAGGACAACACAACCAATATAACCTATAGCATCTTTAATGATATATTTTTACTCATTACTTTACATTTTATCTTCATCTATTAATCATCTATTTCTACCAACATAATTAAAAACCTTAAACTTTTGTTCAACCAAAATAATGAAATATAAATTAAATAAAGGTTAGCAGTCTTTGAGTTGGACACTCGGTGGTTCTGTTATTTTTTATCACAGTGACAATTTAGTACACTTGCAATTCAGAATAGGTTATACATTCCACCATTAACAAGTAAAACATTAATGATAGAGGGAAATGGTTAGCAACCTACAGTGCCATAGCTGATGATTACACCTTTCTAATTTAATTTAAAACCATGTTTCCATTGCTAAGGCGGCCTCCAACATAGATTATTCAACTCTTAAGTATTCAAATCTTCTTGGTCCCACTTATGTTAGCCTTATAAGGTTCATTCTATTTCCATATTTTTAACATAGGAAAATTTAACCCCATGTGATATAGTAGGAACATGAAACATTTAAGTTGCGAGCTTTGTTCCTTTTTTTGAAAGGTGTTCTTGCTGAACTTGGTATGGGCCTTGCTTGCAATATGTCAGGGGAAAGGATCTAGAGTGACGATTAAATATGAGGTATGTGTTTTTTATAGGCTAAAAATGATATGATTAAGATTCATGTTCAAACTCTCTATTTATAGATAGTGTACAATTATTTCCCTTAATGATATATTTAAAAGTACAGTCCTAGATAAAGTATTATAAAGAAAATTGATCCATGTATCCGATACCACATAGTAGCAAAAGATTTTGTTGTTGTTATTGTTGTTGATTATTATTATTAAGAGCACAAACAAATGACATTTTCTCCATAATATTTACGAATGTGGTGAGGAGCCTCGTGATTGGACTTTTCCATATTATGATTTAGCCTAACGTGGAAGTGATCACCTTTCCTTTTTAGGTAAGGCGACTTCATTATGTTCTCTTGCTTAATGCCTTAAGCAGCGATAATGAAGGTAGTCGTGATAGTGATTACTAAATAATATATGCTTAGTCTCTCAAGATGTTTTTTAGACCTTTATTGTGCTAATCTCAATTACTAATTCTTGCATTGTTAATATTACTGTCATTTGTGCTACGATTATTTTATTTTGTAGGTTATTAATAGTATGGCCAGAGAAAAAGAGAGGAAAATAGAAAAAAAAAGAAGATATTTTTAATTATTACTCCCTCTGTTTTTTATTACAAGTTATTTTTGACTTTTTGCATGAATTAAGAAATGTAATAATTGTAATATGGAAAAGAGAAATTATGATTTTTTTTACAAAATTGTCCTTTATTAATGATATTGAAAAGACAAATTTACATAATTGAAAAGAGAAAGAATAATAAATATTTAAGGGTATAATAAAAAAAATAACATTAATAATTAATTGATATTATAAAACGACTTATAATAAAAAATGAAGGTAGTATTTTTAATTATTAATTTAAATATAAGTTTATTTTTAAAAAATAAAAAATAATATTATTTTAAAAGTGATTTAACATATTTAAAATATACCATAAAATATAAAAGAAAAGTGCTAACGAGTACCTCCGATACACTGATTAAGATATTATACACTGATTAAGATATACCATAAGATATTAAAATGGTAAGTTTTTTTTTTTGACAAGAACAAATTTAACTTCTTTCATTGATTAAAAGAGATTCGATACAAGGAGGAATAACATTAATAACACTACGCCTAGACCAAGAATTGGTCGCCTTCGCTAACGAGTGGGCAACCCTATTCGCTTGGCGTTTAATAAACTTCACCTCAAAGTTTTGAATAAGAGGAAGTAACTGCTTAATAGAAAAAATAATACAACTAAATTCAGAACAACCAACATGAGTAGATAGAACAACACTAACCACCACCTGGCAGTCACTTTCAAAGATCACAAAATTCATGTTTCTATCAATAGCGCACTGAATTGCCTCTTTCAAGGCCAAAGCTTCCGCCTCTACCGTAGACATAATTCCAGTATCCCAAGCCACTCCTGCTGATATGAATCTCCCAACATTATCCCTCACACACCAGACCCTATTGGTTGCTTTATTTGGTTATTGAAGCCCACATCCACATTCCACTTAAGCCAACCTTCCCGAGGCGGATTCCACTTCACACAACTAGGATTTGCAATATTGACTTCTTTCACATCACGAGCCATAAACCAATCCTTCCAATTAAAGAAGGCTTGGAGTCCCACCTTCGAATAATCTTCTCTCTCATTATTCCATATAATATTATTTCTATTCTTCCAAAGGGAATCGAGAAGCACCACAAACCTACCAACCTCCCGGCTTTCCTCTTTACTACAAATATCAAAAATAAGTGTTGTAGCATCAGAAAAAGAGTGTAACCTGGATTCGATAAGGTGAAACAAACCTGTTGCCCGCCAACACTGGTGAGCATTAATACAACCAAAGAACACGTGCCAATCATCTTCCACGCCAACTTCACAATTTTGGCACACAGAACATTTGACATAATGCTGGCGGAGTCTGACCCTCGACGGCAAACAACGTCTACAAATCCTCCATAATAAGTGTTTCTCTCGAGGAGGGGCCATGATGTTCCAGATGTTATCCCAAACTTCCGCACCGCTCCCTACCTGATTATGGCGCCGAGAGTTCCTCCACAACCGGTAGCCCGATCGCACACTATACTCACCGTTCTTTTCCTCTTTCCATATTATGCCATCCTCTGTCACCTCTCCTAACAGAGGAACCTTCATGATTTCACTTGCCACTGCATGATCAAATAAGGCATGAATAGCTTGGGTATCCCATTGTTTAGAGTTATGGAGTAAAAGATCATTCACACACATGTCATACACACCTGAGATCTGGGGGCCAGTAATGTAATCGCCTTCCTTACTTCTCAGCCAAGGATCTCTCATAATATTTATATTACTACCATCACCAATGCTCCACCTGCATCCAAGTATTAAAACATCTCTAGCTTTCCAAAGGCTCCTCCAAACAAAACTTGGGTTATTACCAATCTTTGCATCTAAAAAAGAGGATTTAGGGAAGTACCTTGCTTCGAATATGCGAGAGACGAGAGTATGAGATTTTGCTAATAATTTCCATCCTTGTTTAGCTAACATAGCTAAATTAAAAGCTTTGAAATCTCTAAAACCCATGCCTCCTTCATGTTTGGTGCAAGCTAAGTGTTCCCATGCCAACCATTTGATACCTTTATTATTAATGTTTCCTCCCCCCACCAGAAAGCATTCAACATCTTCTCAATATCATTGATGACAGTGTCTGGAATAAGATAAATGCTCATAATATAAGATGGGATCGATTGGAGCACAGACTTGATCATTACCTCCTTCCCCGCTTTGGATAGCGCCCGACCTCTCCAAGAATTGATCCTCTTCCATATGCGATCTTTTATGAAAGAAAAAGTCTCCTTTTTACTGCGACCTATATAGAAGGGAGCCCCAGGTAAGTGCTTGTACCCAACACCAGACGGACACCAATAATCCTCGCAATATCTTCCTGAGCCAGAATGCTAATGTTACGACTAAAGAAAACTTCTGATTTTGAAAGATTTATCTCTTGTCCCGAAGCAAGGGAATAGACCTTGAGAAGCTCCATAAGATGTGTCACCTCTAATACATTAGCCCTGCAAAACAAAAAACAATCGTCAGCAAAAAACAGATGGGACACACTTGGTGCCCCTCTGCAAATTTGGATACCATGAATATCACCACGGGCAATTGCTCCTTTTATGAGAGCTGAAAGGCCTTCTGTTATAAGAATGAATAGAAATGGAGACAGTGGGTCTCCTTGTCTCAATCCTCTTCCTGGTAGAATAGGTCCAACACTTTCTGAATTAACCAAAATTGAGTAGTTCACTGACGAAACACATATCATCATCCAATGGATCCATTTTTCAGCAAACCCCATCCTTCTGAGCATATCCCTCAAAAAAACCCAATCCACCCTATCATACGCCTTACTAATATCAATCTTCAAAGCCAAATGAGCTTTGTTCCCCGTTGTTCTCCTCTTAAGGGAATGAATGACCTCAATAGAAATTAGAGCGTTATCAAGAATGGAACGACCTTTCACGAAAGCGGACTGCTCTTCCGATACGCATTTACCCAAACAGAGTTCCAATCTATTAGCTAGTAATTTTGAGACCAGCTTATATATCACATTACACTGTGAGATAGGCCGGAGATCCTTCATGGTATGAGGGTTAGTACACTTGGGGATAAGACATATGTTTGTTTCATTTAGAGAGTCAGGAAAAAACCCTCTGTCTAACCAGTTCTTCGCTGCCACCCAAATATCATCCCCACAGAGATGCCAAAATTTCTGATAGAAAGCTGGGTTAAATCCGTCTGGACCGGGAGACTTATCCGGATGCATGGTAGAAAGGGCATTGAACAACTCCTCTTTGGAAATTGGAGAAAGAAGCTTACTGTTATCATCTACATATATTGTTGGTCGAATAAGTTCCAGTACTGGTTCATATACCCCCTGCCCTGCAAGGAATAAATTGTCAAAATAATCCTTCGTAATGTTGCACATACCATTGTGCTCTCGGACTTCATTGCCGTTAATGTGGTAGAATATATGAGGATAATTAATTTACGGTATAAAATTATTTTACATTTTCTTTTGCATATCAATTAAATTTTTTCAAAATATATGATGGTTGCACAAAAAATCCGATACGAAAAATTAAAAATTTAATGAAAACTTTGAATTTTTATCAAATTTTTAAAAATTCGGTATGAGGTTTTATCAATTTTTTTTTCTAAATTCAGTTTTTTATGGAAAAATTGTTAATTTTTTATCTAGTTTTTAAAAATCTGATGCATTATACCATACTTTTTTAGGAAAATCTATATTGTTTTCTGAATGTTTTGAAAAATTCGGGAAACACCCAAATTTTTTAATTTTCTTTTGAAAATTTCGGAATTATCAGATTTTTAGTCTAGTGTGAAAATTTGGTAGTTCGGTTCAGAATGCTTTATTTATTCGCTTCAAAATCAAATGGTTCCTCTCCAGATTTTACGTAATTCTTCATCATTGATGTTGTATGTTTTACTTGCATGTTTTGTTTTTAACTTGTGCATTTTAATAGGCTTTGGGTATCTCTTTCATTGATAATTCATTCTTTATATATTGTAAATGACAAATATTTTCCTTTCGAGCTAACGAGTTAGCATGAACGAACACAATTTATTGGTAAACAACATGGTATTAGTGTTGTTATTGTTTGCTTTGATACTACAAATGAGATCTGAGAAAAAAATTAAATTGATTATGGATTATGAAAGAGGAGGAAGTTACAATAAGAGAATTCCTCTAAAGGGACTTTTAGTATGAAAGTTAAATGTCCATTTATGCTAAGATCTGTGTCAAGTGGTAATGGTTGGAAGGTGACAGTTAGGTATGAGTTTTACAATCATGAACTAGCTATTGATTTAAATTACCATGACATATTAGGTCTTTAAAACATGAGGAAAGAAAGTTTGTAAATGATATGACAAAATACAATATGGATCCTAGGTACATAATTGTTGCTTTGAAAGATAGAGATCCAGAAAATCTGACAAGCGTTACGCGGGTGTGCAAGGCCAGATCTACATACAGGACAAGCAAGAGAGGTCCATTGTCTGAAATGCAATATCTACTGAGACTAATTCGTGATGAGAAATATATGTACTGGTTCAAAAACAGGGCCGAATCAAATGTTGTTGTCGATAACTTTTGGACGCATCCTAATTTAGTGAAGTTGTTGAACATGTTTCATTTGGTGTTGATTTTTTATTATACATACAAAACAAATAGGTATTGTCTTCCCTAAAATATAACTTTTCTGTTATTTAATTATGAGAAGTCGTTGATTAAATTTCATAATGTATTGATTATTGAATGTACTTACAAAACAAACATGTATTGGCTTCAACTACTTGAGATTGTTGGTGTTACATCAATGAAGTTGACGTTTACGATTGGCTTCTAAAAAGAGTATTCCCTGAATGCGATAAGGTGTTGCCCCCTGTGATGGTACTGGTGCGACTGGAAATGTTGGCACCATCAAAGTCGTTGTCCTAACAAGTGTTGAGATAACTAGATCTTCAACCATCAATCTGACTGGTTGTTCAACTACATTTTGGGAATTGTTTTGTGAATTGATGTTATCTATAGGAGGATGTGAAATCTTGGATAAAGATTTTCCGCTTCTTAATTGTATACAAACTACTCCGAACAAATCATGTATACAGAACAAACTTATAAGAGAAAACTATGAAATATCTGTCAAAAATAAATGTTTTAGCACATGACTCACTCGGCGTGTCGATTTGTTTAAATTGAAAATTGATATATAAATGTTAATCTCTTATTAAAGGTTACTTGAAGGATCAACTACAGAATCCTAGGACATGGTACTAAATATTTTAACTTAGTCGAAATAACTATGCAAAAGGTAAGAATGTAACTTCGAAAGTAGAAAAAAGTAAGAATTTGGTAAAGACAAAGGTAAAGTGACAATGTAGTTAAAGTAAGATGAAAAAATAACTGGGCAGAAATTGTAAATTAAAATGAAAAGCTTTGCATTAAAGTAAAAGTGATGTTTCAAGGTTCATACATTCTCTCAGTAAACTCTTTTCTCTAGCGCTAATACTTTGAGTAAAAGTGGAATTTTGTAATAAAATAAACACACTGAATCTTACAAATGGAATCCCTATTTATACTAGTACAAAATAATTGATCCCTAACATTCACATATTTAACTTTCTCCACGTAGAAGTCTGCATGCACTTCGCTTCTGCATTCCCTCCACGTGTCCTTTAAAATGGAACTAAGAAGTAATTACTTGTTTTTGAACACAACATCTGCGTGCCCAAATAACTACCTGTTAGACGCGTCCGATGCTGTTGAAAATGTTGATGTCAAAATGTCTCCAAAAACATTCCTAAAAAATACTAAGTCTCATTTTCATCCCCTTGAGACTTCAACAACATACATGTCATCAAAGGTCCATATACCTTTAGCTTTGACTTATGTTGAGGTTTTCGCCCTTGTCGAAAATTCCAGCTACTAGTATCCTAGACAAATTTGAAAACTAGAAAGATGAGTTTCCGACCCCCAATCTAAATTCAAAGTCGTCTTTAAGAGTAGAGAGAGATTTCATAATTTCATTCTAAGTAATTGGTTCTGATTTTTTTTCATATTAAGGAACATTTCCTCATTAATGTACTTATGTTTCAAAACTTGGACCCATAGAGAATCGCAATCTCTATGGAGATCTAAACTAGATTACCCAACATTTAAGTATTAGTCTCTCTTGCTTTCCGAATTCCAAGACCACCTACTTTTTTTAGCTTAGTGATTTATTCCAGCCAACGATATGCACACCAGAGTTAGAATTACCTTTCCACAAAAAAAGTCATCATATCAATAAACTCACAAGTTGGTTGAGGTAGCTAGCCAATCCACTTGCATATACTAATTTAGAATGGAGTTTGGGACAAACCTTACTAGAGTAAAACAACCAACCTTATTTAATAATTTATGTTACAAAGATGCTAACCTCTAGCTGATTTTCTCTTCTAGGAACTCAAAGTCCTTGCGTTGAAGACAATCATGCAACATATGGAAACCAAAGTACTTCTCTAGAACAAGACTTCACTTAATACATGTATTGAAGACAGTTAAATTTATTTTACTCCTCTTAGACATAACACAGAAGAAAACCTTTGATTTATAAACATTCACTTTTGACCATATATTAACTCAATTTCCCTATATTTACTATCACATGACATTTTTCCTATATTAACAAAAAAAATTAAATATTGTTTCCTTTATTGATTTTTTTCCTCCGAAACATCACATACAACAAAATTAAAAAATAAAATAAATTACATATATTAGTGTCACACCCTTATTTTTCACCAAACTTTTCATAACTCCGTCATTAGCATCATCCTTGGAAATTTGAAGCAAAAGGGTTGGCGAGGATAGAGTTTTGTTCCTCTTCAAGGCAATAGACTATGGTTGAGTTGTGAGTATTTGGTTGTTTAGCCTATTCTCATATTAGGTAAGACAAGGTCGAATCTAGAGCTCTGAGATGCGTGTTCCTTGGATATCCTAAGGGAGTAAAATGTTATAGGTTGTGGTGCCCATAACTAGGTCATAGAAGATGTATCACAAGTCGTGATGTAGTTTTCAATGAAGTCGAGATGGCATTCAAAAAAATTGGTGATGCTGGTCGAAGTGCAAAAATCTCTAAAGAGAAGCTGGAACAGGTAGAGATTCCTGTTGAGGTGGAACATAGTGATGTTGAAGTGCATAACCTAGATTAATTTTAGGAAGAAGAGCAAGATGAAGAAGACACTGAGGAAACTGTCGATGACTGGCTACTAGAAAGAGATAGGTCGAGAAGAGTCATCAAGCCACCTTAGAGACTTGGTTATGTAGATCTTTTGCCTTAATCTATGCAAGTGAGGTACTTGAGGAAGAACCTAGAGATTATAGAGAAGCTATGAAACTGAATAGCGAAAAGCCATGGATGAGGAGATGAAATCTCTCCATGATAATAACATTTGGGAGCTGATTGAGGAACCTGCAGAAGCAAGGTTAGTCAATTTTAAGTGGATTTTCAAGGTCAAGGAAATGATCTAAAGAGTGATGTAGAAGCGCTTTAAGGCAGGGTTGGTTGCTAGGGGATTCACTCAGAAAGAAGGTGTCAATTTCAATGACGTGTTCTCGCCTGTTGTAAAGTATAAATCCATTCGAATATTGTTAGGCATGGTAGAAAAGTTCGATCTAAAATGTGAGCAAATGGATGTGAAGACAACATTTCTATTTGATGACCTAGAAGAAACGATCCTGATGTGTCAACCTGAAGGATATGGAGAAAATGATAAGGAAGATTATGTGTGCAAACTGAATAGGTCTTTGCATGTCCTGAAACAATCTCCTCAACGGTGGAATAGGCGATTTGATAAGTTCATGGAACACATTGGTGTCAATAGGAGCCAGTTCGACCACTGTGTTTACTTCAGATTTCGACCTGGAAACTCATTTGTTATTTTGTTGCTTTTTGTGGATAATATCTTCATAGGTAGCAACAGTGTCGAGGATGTAATGGAGGTGAAGGTTGAACTCAACAAGGAGTTCAAAATGAAGGATCTGGGAGCTGCCACCAGGATTCTTGGGATTGACATCTAGAGAGATAGAAAGCAGCCGAAGTTGTGTTTATCTCAAGAAACATACCTATAAAAGCTTCTTGACAAGTTTAGTATGTCGAATTCAAAGCCTGTTGCGACTCCAACAAATCCTTAATTTAAGCTTAATACTACTCAAAGTCTGAGTACTGAAGCTGAAAGAATCTATATGAGTAGTATTTC